GTATCAAACATTGAAAATGAGACTCATTAGGAAGGGCCTAGTCATTTTACCAAGTTTCTTGCTCAACTGGCATTCATTAACAAGTCTGGTTTTGACTTATTTCTGGAAATCATATTTTAGATACAGTGAGAGAGATCTCCCAATCTAGATGTGAGTTAGACACAAGTTATGTATTCCTGCAAGACCAACCTTCGGTCCTCTAAGCCTGACAGCCACACAGGTCCCCTGTGGCTGAAGCTCTCCCTTCTAGTGATCATCTTCCTATAATGAACACGTTATGTCCAAGGGGACTGACCCTAGGGAAGAATGAAGGGTACTGCATAAGTTTAACAATTAAATAACTGTTGTTCCCCAGATTTTTGTGTAAGTGACTGATGCCAGTTCTGCTACTATAGTAGCTGGGATCAAATCTGTTTCCTTATTATTATTATTTTTTTAAAGATTTTTATTGGGGAATTGGGGGAAGGGGAACAGACAAGTTGCTGTCCTTTTGTTCTTCAGTCCAGTTGTGGAGGATGTTGCTTCACCAGCCCAAGTTGACACCATCATTGCGCTCTTCCCGGGCGAGGCAGATCAGTCGCCGGCTTCTGGACGGCCGCTCACAGTGGCTGCTGGCCACTCATGTAGGCTGCTGGCTATACACAGTAGCCCATGGCAACCCACTACAGCAGGGGCTGCAGCCTTCGCCGTCGCAGGGGACTCACAGCAGCCCAGCTCCAGATCGAGCTGTTGTTCAGCATCTTAGCTGTGGAGGGCAGTGTCACTGGCCCTCATATATGGGATCCGAACCGGGGCCCTCTGGCGTCCCAAGCCAGTTCTTAACCAACGCGCCACTCGGCCAGCCCTGTTTCCTTATTGTTTTAAAAAAGGGGTTCTACCTCCTCTTTTCTAAGGCTCCAGATATCACAATCCATGTTTTACATAAGAGCAACAACTTAGGTTGGAAATTTGGAGAGGGTCATTTTTTTCTATTAGTGTAACTTGTAATTAGACCATAGAATAAGGGAAAACATTCCTAGGAAAATTTCCTTGATTAAGGGCAATTAATATTTCCCCATCAGTTTACTGTTACTCCTAAATATCTGAGGGTTCAAACTGTGATATTATTTCTTAGAATTAAAAAATATTTTTCTTGAATACCAAGCAAGCCACTTAGTCCTTAGAAGATGAGATCTTATTACACTGCACAGATCGCTACACAAAATGCTCCTTCTCCATTCTAGTATTCTTAAAAAATATGAAATAAAAAAGAAAATCCTTATTTGTTTGGTACTTTATAATTTACAAGTCTTCACATACACAGTATCTTATGTAATCTTCACAGAAAATAAGCATTTTCCTCACTTAACGGATGAAAATACAGATCTGCCTCAGGTGACATTTCTGTTAATGGGGATATCAGGAAAATAGAACTTGGGTCTTTTGAGCCCCATGTTCTGTTTCTCATATATGAGGCCACCCTTAACTATAAGAGATTTTGGTTCCAAAGCATTTCCATTACTTTCTTCAGAAAAAAACCCAAAAAACATTAAAAAAAAAATCTAGTACAAAAGTTCACAAAAGATAAAATTACTTGCCATCAAAGCCTGACCCGGGGGTATACCTGATTTCTGGAGTCACGGAGTCAGGTCTCTGCATGTTCAGCACCACATAGGTGTGTTCTACACCCTACACAATCGCTGCCCCACAGCTTTCTGACCAAATCAAGTACATTAGAACAGAAGCAGAACAATACATTACCAGAGACCTGAATAAATGACCTCACAAAGTGAAACAGACCTTTCTGAAAGCTTACCTGAGTGCAAGCTGTTCCATCGTCTGACTGGGAACTGGTAATGGAATATTAAGAAGCCAAAACTGAGCTTCCTGCTATGAAACTAACAACGCAAAATACTGTAATTTTAGAAAAGTTTGTAAAAGATTGCTGATTGGCTATGTGGAAACTATCAGTACCTAGGAGCTACATTCTGAAATCCATTCGAACTTTAAGAAGCTGGGGAATTGTGAACATGGTAGGCAGAAAGAGAATCTAAACCTTAAGTCCAACAAAAAGTCTGAGAGCATTGGCCTACTGAGAAAAACATTACAATTATATGAGTATCTAAATCCAAAGTCTTCCAGTTGGTCTTCTGATTAGGATTGTATCATTTTTTTCTAAAATATGTTTCGTATATGTGCAAAGGATTTAAAAAATATAATAGGCTAGGTCCAAGCAAATTTTTATCTTATAGGAGCATTAAGTTTGAAGAAATTGGTTAAAAGAATGTTCTTAATTGTAATCCTCTACTACAAAAGAAATACTGAACATGGGTGTTCTTTTGTTCCTGCCTTTGGGTAACTTTCCACTTCTCTGGTAGCACTAGGAGCCCCCAGAATCTGTAAACCAGATCTGTAAATAACTTCCCAGCATTTTTTAATGAGTCAGAAATGATTTCCAGGTATTTTTTCCAAACCTATAAGATTCCTAGTTGCCTAGCAATCAGCAAGAAGATCGCAGAAAAGCACATTCCTTTCTTGCCTCTATGTAGCTTGGGGAAAAAAAAACTCAGTGGGAATCCCATCACTAAATCATCAAATGAGGCAAAGCTGATGGCTTTTTACCCTTGGACTTATGCCCAAGATTCAGGCACAACACTAACAACACCCTGGATGCTGTGTCATGGTTTAAACAACTGTTTTCACAGCCACTGAGCAGCCAAAGCTGTAATTGAAGCTCCATTCTCTTGATATATACCTAATTGTGCAGCTTTTTCTATTTAGAAAATTTCACAATGACAATGTTGAAATACAGGGGTTATAGAAAAGACATTTAAAAATGCACGGCCCAATAGAATGGAAATGAAAAATCATATGCTTCACACCAGATTTTGATTGACTGACTGATCCATTCATTCATTCCAGCCCTTCCTTTCCATATGGTTCAAGTGGTAAAGGTTACAGTCTATCAGGACCAGTACAAAATAGAATGAATCAGCGTTTTTATAATATTGAAAGACTAGGACCATCCCTAACACGACTTTCCTTTAGTTCCCCCTAAATTTTAGGTCATCCATTCTTGCAAGATGCAGTATCTCAGCATTACTACAACAATATTTTATATCTAGGTTTTTATAAATTTGTAGGGAACTGGGTCTAAAAACAGGAAGATAGCTTGTACCAATATATATTTTTTTAGTTTAAATGATACCAAAAAATGATTGTTTCTGAGCGTTACTGCAAGTTAATTATTGTCTGCAAAACTGAGTCTTCTTCCTCAACACAAACATGGGTAACCAATCATCTTTCTTCCCATTCAGAAACAGAATAACCAAACAATAAACACAAAATACGAAATTAGCCAGAAAGCTCTGGCTTGTTTCCCACTCAGAGAAAAATAAATATAATTGATAAATAATAAGGTACATTTCTATAACTGGGTATTTTTCAAAATCACAAAGTTTTCATTTCTAGTAGTATAAAGAGCTGTGCTACATACACTTTTTCTAGTCAATTTAATCTGTCATAAGATTTTACATCAATATTGAGAGTCTCAGCACTTTCTCTTTTGCTATTACCTAGTCAACCTCAAAAAGCAATTCCTCATATTAAATTAATGTGTTCATAAAAATGTAAACTAAAGTTAAATGGGCAAAGGTTCACGTTGGATTTTGGGGAGGGAAGGGAAAGATGTCATTCCTCCAAAGCAAAAACTCTGTGGTGGTATTTTGCAAATACTTAATAGTTTTATTCTTTCACAATTGAACACATCAACTTGAGTCCAATGAGCATCTGATTTGCCACGTCTCTTGATTTTCAACCTTAGTCATAATTATGTTTTTCCTTTTTCTAATCATTTTTACAAACTGAGGGCAAAATATAATTACTAGTGATTACATGAATTTTTCTACACAAGACAGTGTGTAGACAGTGTGACCCTGCTGAAATTGAACTTTTGACTCACAGACATTGCTACTATGAGATAACTTGAGATATTTGCCTGCTGATATAAAAAACTTATCTTTGGTATACAATAGATAATTACAGGTGTCAATTTATAAAAACAATATATAAAAATGGAGAATTTCCTAAAGTAATTACAATTAATAATTTTAGAGCTGGAAGGCAATTGAGAAATCATCTAATCCAAATTTAATTCCAAGATAAAAAGACTGAGGCACAGACAGATGAAAAAACTTGGCTAAAATCACATTTCTCATGAGTGCTAGAGCTAGAACCAGAGTTGGGCTTAATATTCCTGGTCAATTATTCCTTATATAATACTCATTACTAAAAAGTTTTATTTGGAAATTTATCCCAACAGATCTTCATTAGAATTATTTTTAAAAATCAAACATCACAAAAACGTTCAAGTTCTGATTTCTGTCCTTCCTATTTCATGTTCTGTTGAATAAATGACAAACTTGAGAAGGACAAAAGGTCAAGATTAAGGAAATGGACAATTTAAAGGGGATAAAATCATGATCTGATCATAATCCTTTCTTTTAGTCCTGAAATAGGTTATTTCAACACTAATTCTTAGATATTTGTCACTTACCTTTCAGACTTGTAGACAAGATTGTGGCAACAGATCTCGAGATGTGGAGTTGATTCAATGACAAAGTTCATTTGAGCACTTTTCCTTCATAGCTACTGCAGCCATGAAATCAGTTTCTCTCAAAGGAGATTTTACTCTCAGAGAGCTCACGTACATAGTAATCTCAATCAGTGAAAATAATAGACATCTTTCTGTTCTTTAAACTAAATATATCTTAAATGGAAAGAAAATCAGGGAGGTAAAGCAAAAGTTAACATAGGAGAAATTTTTTCACTGACAGATTATCTAAGCATAAGTTCATAATGCATTGAGAGAGCTATGGTATACTATATGGTATACTTAAGGCACAAAACTTTCCAAGATTTGAAGTGGCTACTTACAACAAGAACTTAAAGATATGAGAAAAGATACTTTATAAGAGACAGAAAAATTAAAATTGCAAGGAGTAAATCAAAATGAAAATTTGAAAACTTAAACCATATTTGTTTTTTATTTATATATAGCTATCACATGAATTATAAAGAAAAAGGGTATTAGAATGTAACTTGGATAGATGTATGCATGCTATGGCTAAGAATAAACACTGTCCCTATATATTATGGTTAGTGAGAACATTATCAGTATAATGGGATTATGAGTATTTAAAAATATGCAGAACTTATTTAATTTGTGCTTTAGAGATAACTATATATTGTAAGTTGAAAAGAATTCAAAAGAATAACTAATACCAAATATACACCTATGTATATGAATTCAAAAAAGGCTGCATTCAGTAAAGTCAATCAGTTGTATTAAAAATGACACAAATCCAAAACAAGATGCATGTTATATAAAAAAGGACATTGTAAGATTTGCTTGCTGCATTTAATCCATGGTTTAATCCACAAAATTCCCTTTTAATTATCATTTAGACAGAAGCATGCAAATAGTCTTAGGATCTACTTAGAGTTTCCCCAAATCCACTACGGCTGGATATCCCCTTTCAGGAGCTAAGCGGGTATTCGGGTAGCGGCCTCCTCCTCTGCATCTGCTCGGTTTGCATTAATTTCTGCAAGTGTTCGGCCGAATCGTGCCCATTCATCATTTCGGGGGACAGCAATCTGCTGTTGAAAGACAACGTTTTATGTATACTGAAATAAAAGATCGTCTTACCCCTATTATTCAGTGTTTTCAAATAATTTTTCCATTAAAAAGTAATAATTGACCTGAATGGCCTTTCCATAATTATAGGGACTATAACAATGATTTACAACATTTTGAAACAAAAGACAGTGTTTGTGAAGTGTGTTTTGACAGCCTCAGAAATGACTTTGCTGTTATCACCATCAATATGCAAGAGAAAATAATAAAGATGCTCTGTAACTATAACTCCTACGCAAAATCTTGTGAGTTTTGCTGGTGGGGAGGAACACCTAAAAATTTTTTACTTCCTGCACCATTCCTAGTATGAAATACTTTTTGAAGCATGGTTCAAAAGAGCTGGTTTCGTATAATTATTTATTTTTGTTTGGAGCATAAGATAACCTTTCTTGATATCTTAATCCCTCATCAGAAGGTTTGCTACTTCTTTCTGCTTTTTTGATGTACCAATAGCAAAAGGGGAAAAGCTTGTGATGCTTTTGCCTCACTGAAGCAGTCCAATAACCAAAAATATTTGATAATTGTTATTATAATATTAGAGGAATGTGACATTGCCATATTGGGGCATAAGCCATTCATTGTGGCGAATGGATGTGTCTGTTTCTAAATCTACCAGATTAGATTAGATTCCACTGGACAGTGAGCCAACCCAAAATGGGAGCTACCAGCCACATGTGACTAATTACATTTAAATTATTTAAAATTAAATAAAATTTCAAATTAATTTATTCAGTTGTACTAGTCACATTTTAAGTGTTTCGTAGCCATATGTGGCTAGGGGCTACCATATTGGGCAGTGCAGATACAGAGCAATTTTACTTTGCAGACAGTTCTACTGGCTGTTCTAAATGATTCAATCTACCTCCCTCCAGATCCAATTGCTAGAGGCTGTGGGGTATCCAGAGAGGACAGGAATCATAAGGCACAGTAAAGGAAGCAGTAACTAAGGTGCTAGCAAATCCTAAAAGGAGGAAATCTTTACTCCTGAGCATTGTGTACAGCCAAACTCAAGCACTAAAGTTGAAAGAGCTGCAACTCATCTCGGATTCAATGATAGTGGCTTTGCAACAAAGCTCAAGAATCAAGATTCATATTTCACATTGTCATCAGGTAACTCTCAAAAAGTATTACTTCTGATTTCTACTGTCTGGTCCAAACAAATCTATGAATACAGAAAAATAAAATCTTGTCTCAGTATCAATTCTGGAAAGCCCCAAAGTCCAACTATAATCCAAATTTCTTCTTTTGCCTCAAGAATTTCCAATTCCAGCAATGCATGCTTCAAAAAACAAGGTACTTCCAACATATACTACCTTCAAAATCTGTTGTATGGGGACATAGGACTTACAGTTTAGAAAGAAAATTAATCTCAAGAGTTATTTCTGTGATGGAAAGTACGTTTTATCTTTACAACCTCGGTTTATACAATTCATGAACCTTAAAGACTAGTTTTAGCCACGAAGACACTGTTACTACAATGCTGTGAAAGCTAAATAAATGTATCAAAATTATAGGCAGTGAGCCCCATACCTCTCCTACATCATATATAACAATCTGTCCTTCAGAATCACCCACGGCAATCTCTCTTCCAGAATGAGTCCATCTTACACGGTTAAGAGCAGGATTACCCTCCACGGAAATGCTGGCAGTTGGTACCTAAAGTCATTTAAAATATAGTGCAGTGTTAAAAGTCTCATCAAGATTTCTATAAACATGTAAAACAGTAATTCTTTTTTCTTCCAATCTGGCTACATTTTTTTAAGACAAAGATGAAAACAGATAAAGAATTTTCCCAACTTTCTTTCTGTTCAGTGATACATTACAAATGACATTACAATCAATCCTTGAAAATGGTTTGGAAAATAACTTAAGTCCTTATATGAGAAATTCTCACATGATTAGATACATCATTTTGAAAGATGTTCTCTTTAATAAAGCATTCTTTGTTGTTGTTTTAACTTCTTTAAGAAGTCAAGCTGTTTCAAAACAGATGGCCAAAACCCCATTTTAAAGAAACATTTCAAAAGCCCTAATAAACAGATTACGGTTCAATTTTAGAGGACAGGAATTACTTTTGTAGCTTGCATCTCTGTCAGCTGAAACCTGTGATTTGATCCACAGTTCCTAGAAACAGTTCATACTGAAGGTGTGGTATGGGTCTTTCCAAAAACCCTTTATTCCCATGAACTGTCTGGAGCAGGGGGAATGATGGCACCAACACAGTGGCACCTTCCTGTGGAATAAGATTGTATATCTCTCCTATGCCGAGGAAAAGAGATTTTTTTGCTACACACAGAGCAAACATTCAATGTTTGACTCAGATCAAAAGCACAATAAATTTTCTAGAAATTTGAAATCTGATTAAAAATAATCCTAATTGACACCAGTTATCACCAAAGAATCCATTTAACCCCTAGGCTAAAATTGCTATAGAGAAAAATTATATTTAGATACATTCTTTGAGTTAATGATTATAGAAAAGATCCAAACTTAACTGTAACCACAAATCTCTAACACCAAAATCCAACCTAAGAAAATCAATACCAATCTAGATAACTAGGAATGTATGAATATAGTCAAATCCCATAATACCTTTCTCTAGCAGTATTTGAATGTTCCTCCTCGAACTACTAAACCAGTAGTTAACATAGTGTTAAAATTCTTACATTTCCTACATATAACTTCCTTGCCTTGTATAACCAACTATTTTACTTTAAGGGATTTGGACAGATGCCACTAGAAATATGAAGAGACATGAGAGTGAGATGTAGGGGAAGGCACCAGGGGACTTTCTCCTCAACAACTGTTACTGATAGAACTGCTAATATTACCACCACATAGCAATATAGAATTCTAAGAACATTTTCAGTCTCTCTAAGCTTATAAAAATACACATGGCTAAAAATAAATAATAGCTGCAGTTAAATTTCATTGCCAATAATTGATTTTAGTATAGCAATTAGGAAGTGTGACGGTTTCTATATTCGTTTTATAGCTAACAGTAACACTGTTTTCACTCCTGCATGGAACAAGTAGTCAAAATACATTTTTCCTTTATTCAAAGAAGTCAGGCTAAGACTAATGTTTATGGATGATACACAATTCTATCAAGGCTAAGAGATAATTCAGAAAGTCAGAATTAAGGTTAACATGCTTCAACAGTCTGAAACTCTCTTGCTTCTAGCCTATGAATGAAAAATATTCCAGTTGCCTTAAGAATGATATTTTGCCAGGACATTAAGAGACACGATAGTGCTTTTCAGAAGTAAAAGGAAATGCCCCAGTGCTCTTGGCAACATTATTTCTCCCTTCAGTTCTGCACAGCATGCTGTTTATTCTTTAGGGTACAAAGCTTATTTAGTTTCTTTGTGATGACGCTACAATCACAGAGCCCTTTTACATTCCTTGGGATAAAAAGAATTTCAAAAATTATTCAATAAATCACCAATTTTCTATTTTTCAGTGCAATTTTTGTTATTTTCCTGCTCACCTCTGTGTCATTATTGAGATTCCACAAATCCAGCCTCCCCATGCCATCCACACAGGCAAACAGGGCTGGGTGGGTTGGTGACCACATAACATCATAAACATAGTCTGAATTATCTTCAAATGAGTACAAAGGCTTGTTATTCTGAAAGGAAAAAGTTGATTCTTAGCAGTCAAAATATGACATACATTCAACAGGTATAATAACATTTTATGACATTTAACTCAGTCTAGAAAAAGTTCCTATAATTTCACTATAAAATTATCTGGAGTTATGAACTAAGAATTGACTATTAGATTGAATTTTCTTTTTAACTTATAGACACCATGCTGTTTTTAAAAAGGAACAGAATGCGCTTTAAAAACATCTGTCAATGAGAGGATTCTGGGAAGATGACACCAATGGCCCTGTACTTTTTAAATCTCCTCTAATTCTCTCTATAAAGCCAGACAAAGCAACAAGGATAGAAAAACCAAGGATCCACAGACAATATCTACAACAAAATCAGGAGACAAAGCTCCAAATGGAAGCAAGTGGAAACAAACGTGTGACAACTTTAAGACCTGAACAGTATGTGCATCTGTGAGGGAAGATGTGTGGGAAGGCTCGGGGCTTCCGACAGCTGGAGAACAGAACAGAAGGGCCTCACAGTCGACAGCAGATGCTCAGTGGACAGCATGGGGGCCAGTCTGAGAGCAGCAGCAGATTCCATTTATAAATAAATGCGAGCAGACTCCAGTATCATATAAGTAAGGTCTAATGGTGCAGTTTGAGCCCTATAAACTCTCAAAATTAACCAACTGAAGCTCCTTTTCAAGACAAAGTCTCACCAAAGAGAAAGGGCTGGAAGTAGAATCCAAGTTGTGGAATATGGCACAACAGGGACAAAGGAAAGAGAAGGTTCAGATACAAGTGGTGAAGAGGAACAGAAAAGGAACACCTCAGAAAGTACAAGGTAGATAAATAGACTGATAAATATGCACTTTACAAAAAAGCACAGAAGAGAGCTTTATCCTAGACTGCAAAACTACAACAGTGATCCTTGCCCATTCCCTCCCTCCTAGAAGTAGAGAAAAACTCATTTCACTAGTGGACAATAAACAACCAAAAAGGATGTTAGTCAGATTCCACACAGAATTATTGTGGCAGATCTTCAATAAGGGTATCATGACAATTAAATGGGAAAAGAACAGTCTTTTCCAACAAATGACACTGGGACAACTGGATATGCACACACAAACACCATACACAGAAATTAAAATGTATCACAGATTTCAATATCAAAGGTAAACTATAAAACTCTTAGGAAAAAGCATAGGAGTAAATTGTGACCTTGGACTAGAAAACAGTTTCTTAGATAGGAAACCAAAAGCACAAACAACAAAAGAAAAAGTAGATAAATTGGGATACATCAAAATTAAATACTCTTGTGCGTCAAACAACACCCTTAAAAAAGTGAAAAGACAACTTACACAATGGGAGAAATATTGGGTTGTCGGGAAAGTCATGATGTATTTTTTCTGTTTTTCATTGCAAAAATGCGTCATGACTTTTCTGACAACCCAATATTTGAAAATTATGTATCTGACAAGTGACTTGTATCTAGAACTCCTACAAGTCATTAAAAAAATTAAAAATTGGGCAAAGGATTTGAATAGATTTCTCCAGAGACCTACAAACAGCAAATAAGCATTTGAAAAAATGTTCAACATCATTTGTCCATCAGGGAATGCAAATTAAAACCACAATGAGATATCATTTCAAGCCACTAGAATGGCTATAATAAAAAGGACAGACAATATGGCCGCAGGGATAGAAAAAGACAGTCCGAGGAATACAATCAATAATGTTGTAAGTATTTCTTAGGGGGCCAGATGGACCCATGTCCTTTTGGGGAGTCCACTTCATAGTTGAGGTAGAGGCCTGACTACCGCATTGTATTTCTGAAACTGATGTTGAATAATACTGTATGTCAACTATAATTATATATACATATAACCTCGGGACATGGAGTAGAGTGTGGGAACGGATTCAATGGAATTGTAATAGATAAGCATGATATCGGGGGTGGAAGGGCAATAGATGGGGGGAGGGGGGTTGTTACTTTGTGAGGGTGAAAAGGGTAACTATTGCATTGTTCTGTACACCTGAAACTAACAATAAAAATAAAAATAAAAAAATAAAATAAAATATTAATAGCTGTAGATGAAAAAAAAAAAAGGACAGACAATAACAAGCGGTGGTGAGGATGTGAGAAATCAGAACTGTCATACATTGCTCGTGGGAATGTAAATTGGTGTAGCTGCTTTGAAAAACAGTTTGGCAGTTCCTCAAAATGCTAATTAGTTAACATATGACTCAACAATCCTTCTCCAACCAAAACTGAGAACCACTGAACTAGATAATGTCTAAAGGTCACTGGAGCTCTAAAATGCTTACAAAGAAAAGGTTTGCAAACATATTTGCCAAAAGAGTGAATAAAACAAAGAGCTTCTTTGAATAATTGATAGCGTTTGAATAAGCAAAGGTAGCTCATTCTGGTCCAGTGGTGACAATAAATACTGTATGGTCAAAGAACAAGCCACATTTTTTTCTGAATTCTTTATGGTGATGTATTGGGTTAAAGAATATCCTCCTCCCAAATTCATGTCCAGCTGGAACCCATAAATGTGATGATATTTGGAATCAGGGTCTTTGCAGATATAATCAAGTTCAGCTGAGGTTATACTGCATTAGGGCAGGCCCTAAATCTAGCATGACTGTCTTAAAAGAAGAGAAAAATGTGGACAGAGACAAACAGAACACCATGTGATGACAGGCAGAGACCAGAGTGATGCAGCTACAAGCCAAGGAGCACCAAGATTGCTGGCAAACATCAGAAGCCAGGAAAGAGGCGCGGAAGAGGAATGGATTCTCCCTCAGAGCCTCCAAAAGGAAACCAATCTCATCGGCACCTTGATTTTGGACTTCTAGCCTCCAGAACTGTGAGATAATAAATTCCTGTTGTTTTAAAGCCACCTAGTTTGTGGCAATTTGTTACGGCATCCCTAGGAAGCTAATACAGTGGCTCTGTATTTTTCTGAAGTTAACTGGGTAGTTGTAGATTAATAACCAAAGAGTCCCTACAGTAAATACATCAGTGAGGTGCTCTCCAGAGAACTGGGAAATAAGTATGTCCTCACCTGGAACAGAACAGAAATAGATCCTGTGTAAAAAGAAATGATTCCAAGATCAGAAATACCTTCCTTATTATAACCTGACTGAAGATATGACCTTTTAAAGAAGGAATCTGCCTATTGAAAACAATGGAAATACAAAGAAACAGAGTCTTATAAGAAAAATGACAACAGTACCCAATTCAAGCATTGTCCAGGAGAGAGAGTCTCAGCCAATGGATTCTGAGAATTACCACCCATGGCAAGGCTATCTCTATGTGAAGATGAATGAATCAGGCTAGCTTTCCTTGATGCCATTAAACATTCAAATCAGAAAACTTCTTTTGTTCCAATTCCTTGCTCACCAAGCAATCTTCTGATTATAATTTGGCTTCCCATGTGGGTTGTCTACAGGGAAACAATGAGCTGGTCAGGACAGTATGAGTATCTATCTGGGCCTTCTGGCAGTTTCTCATTATAAATTAATAAATTGACCTTCTCCAATGTATCCGTGTTGTAGGAGCCTGTTAGTTCCAGTTAGCTAATCAACTCTAGTAGATTGACAAAACTGAGTTTTAAAATATGCACAGGACAGGCTGAACACTGGCCAGCAGCAAGTCAGTATAGTAAATGCTGCCACCATGGAGGACTGGGTCCTGATGGTCAGTAGACTTCCCCAAGACACACCCCAACCTCAAAGCATTCTTTCATTTTAACTTCTTTAATATGTGCATAGTTGCTACTCCAAGTGTTAGTAAAATCTCTTTAACCCTGTTTTAATGCTGGTAATTCTCTGAGAGTTAAATAGGTAAGCTGTTAAAATAAGGTCGGGATTTAAGACATCAGAGACTGTAAAAAAATGTTAAGGTGTATATGGGCTACAAAAGTCTGAAAACTACCAATTCTAAGAAATTACTACATTAGCAATCTTAATTTTGTTACTTTATGGTAAATATGGTTCTGATAGGTATTGTTCTGAGGCTAAATATACATTACAACATTTTGTCCACCAAATAAATAAATCATATTTTAAGAGTAATCTGTAACAAGTATAGTTAAATGTACTGGAACATTAAACTAACTCAACAAGACTACCTCTTAATTTACCAGGTCAAGCTCTTAGGGAATCCTCAGGTTACTTTCAAGAAGCTTTTACCCGTCACATATTCTTCCTGATATTTTTCAAGCCTGCCAAAGTGCTTTCTGTGGTGAATTTTCAAATTTGGTATTTTTAAAAAGTAACAATATCCTAAAAATATATTAGAAGCAATGTCTTGTTTGGTTTAAACTTCACCAAAATGCGGAAAATCCTCTCTTTTTTACTAAATATAACTGAGTTAAAAAAAGTAATGAAAACAATTTGATTACCCAGAACTCTGTCACTGCATTGTAAATTACAGAGTAGGCAAAACTTAGACTACAGAAGCTGACTACAGAAGTAGACTACTTTAAACTAAATTTGAGGCAGTGCCAAATTGAGATTTCTAGGAATTTTTTTGGAGAAAAAGAAGAATTCTTGTTTTTCTACTGGGGCAGAGCCAGATCTTAAAAGGACACAAAAATACGACAATATCTAATGATTCATTCTTGTTTAAAAAGCTTAAAATGGAACTGGAACAGAGTTTTTAAAAAGAGACATTTAAAAACCTTGCTTGTCTATTATTCATTACCATTGTGCTGGAGAGCTCAGAGGCTCTATCGAGTTGTTTGGCAGGGTAGAAATAAATACCAGCAACACAATTAATCATGAAGTATAAATCTAAGTAAGATCAAAACAATGACATTGGGAGCCATGCTATTACCAAATAAAAACTATTTACTCAGCAGACTGTTGCTGTTCTATCCTTCAAACAGAACTCTATGTGGACAGAAAAGTTAGAATAAAAGGTTAATTCTTCTGATAAAGTTTTAGAGGGACCTTGGGCATGTATAAAAACACCCTGTTCTATGTTGGCTTATCCTTTGGCCACTGACCACTGACATTTGAGAGGTATGTATGTGTGGAGAAGAGGGGAGAGGCATACATCACAGTGAATGAATAAATGAGTCTTCTACTGTGAAGCTCACAGAAAGAAGCAATGCCTAGCCCAATTAGCAAAGAAAGAGACATACCTGCCTGTCATTATTCAGAGGAAGTTCTATGTTAAAATATAGCAAAATACAAGAACAAAAAATATCAACCACCAATCGACCAACTGTGTAGTACCACAAAAACAAGCATCAACTAGCCTTTCACAGATATCAGTTCTGTTCTTGTATAGGCAAGACAAACTCTCTATTTTCCAGTCCTATTAGTAACATGTGTAAGGATGGAAGCCTCAAATTTAAAGCTAAAAAAAGGTTAGAAAACTGAAGCCCTTAGATATTAAAAAATAATAATAAATCTACAAATAGATACAGAATCTTTTCTATTGAAAGAGGACGCTGGCCAAAAATCTAACAAAGATGTAATAATGTCTTCTGTGTCTATATAAAGGACTACTAAGGTGAAAGCACACCCAGAGTTCTAACCACTTACAATGCCGCCTGCAGTCTATAGAGAAATAGCTGGCTTCATCTTTCCTATTCTGCATCTTGCTTTGGTTTTACTAGCTAGATTATGCATTTCTTTGCTCATGTTTCTGGGAATCTTTTTCCTTTTTCCACTGTATCAATCTCATTAAAAGAATAAAAATTCAAGAACAATCGAAGAAAGAAAACAGATCACTGACTAAATGCATTTAGGCTTTGTCTGATTCCCATGAAGGGGCAAAGGAGGAACTGAACATTGTTAACTGCCTACTACATGCTAGACAGTGTGTTAAGCACTTTTCTATATTTTCTCTTCATTAGACTTATGGTAGGTGCTATTTTTCTACCTGCTAATGCCAAACCTGAAAATGCTTAATTTTAAAAGGCAAGGTTTTACAGGTGAAGTTTTCTAATTCACTTCATATTGGACTGAAAGTAAGCATCAAGAAAGGGCAAGAATGAACAGCGAGTTCATCCCCGATTTCTGAAGCCAGTATTTAATAAATAAATATGAGTTCACTGTAATTAAGCAAAGAACATTTGTTAAGACCAGTAGGTTTTCTCAAAAAAAAATTGAAGAACCAAATAAAGACTCTAAACATTGTGTCATGATGAGTTGAAGGATTTAAGGTAAGGCAAGTGGAAACATAAAAAAAATATAGCTTAAAATTTAACTTAAATAGAATCTGATATTCTGAGTATGCAGCTTTGCCAGCAACAATGCAAATCAGAAAAGCTAGACAGCAAAGTCAAGGCACTTAAGTCTTAAAACTAGGTCAAATGAAACTACAAGGCCTATCACAGAAAGTAACATTCCCTACCTGGACTGGCCTTGAGGCTTTCAATGTCACATTTATTTAGAATTGCTGGAGAAAAAGGAAGCACTTTATAACATAACTGGGCTTTTCGAATAAATGAAACATTAAAATTTAAAAAAAACCAACTATTTAAATTATTTATTGTGGAAAACAAAAAAATATATATATATAAAAACATGTCTTTTATATAATATTTTCTTAATGATTCAAGTTTATTATGTGTAGCTTTATCATATAGGACTTACTGTACATCAGTTTTATCTGTCTTTTCGCCATCTTCCATCAGCTCTGTGAGTCACTGTAGCTCTAACAAGCCTCTAAAAGTTCTCCAAAGAGAAAATGTATGGCTTTTGTGCTGGGCTGTATGACAACACTGTGAGATGCTATGCAAGATACTCAGGGGCTTTCTCCCCAACTCAGCTCAGTATAGATAATTCAGCACTTGAAAAGCCTGAGTGGTGGAAAGACTGGTCTTTGGTTGTATGTGGGGCTACCATATTTGTCAGCACACTTTTATGAAAACTATAGCATCCAGTAGCTCACTCATGTTCTGTTTAACTTCTTATCAGGTTTGATCTATCAGTTAATCATTCTAAGCAATAGAAAGCTTTTCATCTTTCCTATGTAGTATTAGAGCACCACCTTGTGTTAGAAACCTGAGCAAATGAGCAAACATCTGTTTTTAAGATACCTTAGTTGTCCAAAGTTTTACTGTCCAGTCAAATGACGAAGTGACAAAAAGATGTGAGAAGTCTACTGCTCCAACAGCTGCATGACAGTGGATGCCAGTGATTGGTCCTTGATGTCCCTCAAACATCTCACTGATTCCAGCTTTGCTATTTCATAAAAGTGAAAACGTTAAGGAACTCTTTTGTAAGTTGACCACTTATAAATATATAAGCTTGACATAGTTCAACAAACTTAACTCTGTGTTCATAACACATCAGAATAACTTAAGCATCACTCTATCCAGAATTGATAACACTACTAAAGCAGTAAGTACATTTTTTAACATCATGCTGCTGATGACAGAACTCAGAAGTCCAATATCTGAGGTGGTGAAATAGAGACAAAGGGACACTACATACAGGAGATAAAGTCTGGGCTACTTTTAAATCAAAAGCTTTGAAGTGAAGGTGATCTGTATTTGAGAGGAAAACTGGACACCCAAGTTTTTTTTTTAAGAAAGCAATTGATAAGGTACAAACAGCTAGACAATTTAAAAACAGACTGAAAAGCAGGTGAAATACTAGTCAATTTAAAATGTGTACATGACATTACTGTACAATTATCAGGAGAACTGAAACAAATCTCAAAGTCCAAATAAAATGAAAATCTTATTTACATTTTAAAGGTCAGTATATGGCATGTATATATTGCATTTATAATTGTTGAATGTTACTTCCTACTACTAACTTCTGTGAGCATGTGCATACATACAAAACCACAACACACCACAACCTTCAAAATCTGGAACACATCATGACCCAAAATAACCTTTTATTTTTAAAAAGTGCTTGTTTTAATTTTATATACCTGACCTCAAATAATTTGTCATAAATACGGAGTGGCTCTGGGATAGACTTCTACTTAAAAAGGGAGCAATTTGTTTTAATGAGATTATTCAAGGGAAAATTTTAAATTTCAAATTCCAGTTTAGACTTACCTGCCATGGCGGCACGCTGTGTACACAGACCCTTCTTCACTCCCAACAACAAAGTTGTTGACATCTCCAACAGGGAAGGACATAGATGTCACAGCTACTGCCTTTGACTGTTTATGAACCAGTTCCATGCTATCCTACATAGCAAAAATTAAGAAAATTCTTTTATAAACTTGCAATTTTTAATTTTTTTAAAAAAAATTTCTAGTTTAGTTTGTCAACAATTATTTTACTACTTACATAAATTGACTTTGATTAAATGAATCAGGTTTGAAAATAAAGTATATACACAAGAAAACACAAGTTTAGGTTTATAAACCGTTATAATAAAATGTTATAAAACATTCATGAAAAACATAAGCTGGGGTTTGAAAAATAACAACGTTTGACTCAAAATTTCAGAGTTTTCCAAGTTGAACCTACCTGTGGATGGGAAAGCATGTCCAGACTCCATGAACAAATTTTTCCATCAGTAGAGATGCTAATCAGATTGTGAGCATTTTGTGTTCCAACGACATTTACGCAATATACAGGATGCTGAAAAAGGAAGATTTTACCAAAAAATGAAACAATTTTTACTGCATAATCACAGGTATTGTTTCATATAAAAACAGTGTCATATCTTGAGGGCATTTTTTATGTGAAGTTTGATGCTATTCTGTTGATTAACAAAAGGTTGTCTAGGAAAAAAGATGAGTTTCTAGTAAGACAGATACCCAAAAATACAGAAAAAAAATGCCTTTGTTCTTGGTTGCTAAATGATGAGGAATTCATACATCAAAGGAAACACATTCTGAGACTACTCTGATGGACACTCCTAAGTATTTAATGGTAAAGGGGCACAGGAGTCTAATGGAAATAATCTTTTTAACTTACTGTGTGTGCAGCAGCTGACAATGGAGTTCTTTGCACTGGAGTTCTTTTATTGCTACGGTTATCCCACAGCACAATTTGGCCTGAATATGTCCCACCAACAACCAAGTTTGGATGAAATTTTGCAAATGTGGCAGACATCACAGCTGACTGCAAATAAGTAAGATTTTTTTATACTCAAGGTTCAAATAGAAGAAGCCTGACAAATTATAAAAATAAATCTATATCTAAAACATTTTCCCCTTTATGTTAAGGTATTAGAGGTTATAAAAACAAAAAAATTCATTAAAAATTTTCATTTTGTTTCAGAATACAAAAATTTACCTTTAGAAAAGTTTTTGGTTAAAAATCAAATGTAATGATTATTTATATATGTTTCAGCAATTTATCAAAGAAAGCAAAAAACTATTTCATTTGATTACAGTATTAAATCAAAAGATAACTGGCTCTGCATTAGCCTCTGACAGTAATCTGACAACCAAGCATATGCTAGTTTTGATTTAGTTAAGTGTTTTTTCAGAATTATGATATTATTAAAAGATTATAACTTATGCAACCAAAAAAGGCTTGCAAATTCTAAACTTCCACTAAATCCACTTTAAAACTCTGCATCTGTTTCCTACTTCAAACATATGTTTCTACTTAAAACTATCTAGTTCCAACTCCTCAGGCCATGTATAAGTAATTCAGTGGGCCAACAGTCTAATTGTATATTCAGCAAATAAGTTCCTGAGAAACTCCCTGTAGAAAAGACATTTTATAAAAGATTTCTTTTATACAATCAATCACAATAACAAAAAATCACAACTGCAAAGGACTTTAGGTGTTATTAAACGTTATAAGAGATGTCAGAAACGCTACAAAAGGCAGATCATGTTGAACTGAAACGTCTTCAGTTTTCTGTTCACATCTGTTTGCAAACATGGGGTGGTTTAGTAAATGCCAATCCAATGAAATCATTATGTTGACAAGAAAAGAAAAAAGGCACTTGTCTAAATTCATTAATGAATTCTTAAACTTGGGGAAGTCTGGTAAAAGACCATCTTACCTGGCAGTGAAACACATACTCTGGGGTAGTTTTTTTGTATTTCATATTCCATACAAGGGCCACACCATCAGGCTCATGAGGGGCATCGTCATTGTTATTATAGGAAGCCACAAGTAACTCTGGATACTGCTCGCAAAAATCAAGTGGAAAAAAATGCTATGATAATAAAAACTGGTTTACATTCCTAGTTATTCAACAGTCTTTATCTAATTATTCTGAAAATATATACCTAATGCTTCACCAAAAAAGATATCTCTAGAGTTATGCTTACTGGAACATTAGAACTTTAAATTAATACAGTTAGTTAAAATATGTGTTGCAATTTTATCCAAAGGGTTTGGTGAGCAATTGAAATCAGTAAAACTGGGTTGTGGCATAAATAAAATCATGAGTTTTAAGTACAAAGAATGCTTCCAATCCTTTCTTCCATAGTACATATGACAAAATGAATATGATAACATTAGAACCATCATCCATTATTTTAAATTATATATTGATTTAAATAGTTTCCATAATTAAAACTACCCCATTCAAAAATGAGTTAAGAGCAACCAGTTTTGTTATAATTTACCTGAGATGACCAATCCAAACAACTAACAACCCGATGCTTTGACCAACGTTCGTCAAAAAATTGTCGATTTAATGACAGTTTAGCACCTGCTTGAATCTCTCTATAGAAAAGACCAAACCCAAAAAAAAAGGTGTTAAAATTCTCACTCTAAATGTAAAGGATTTAACATTGCCGAAGCCATAATTTTAGCAATTAAGCATTACCCTTCTTTGTCTTCCAAATCTCTTCCACTGTAGTCAAAGAAGATGTTAATCTGCTCAGAAAGAGCTCTTTCTACAATTCTTGTAGAATGGTCAAAGAAACTTAAAAATTCCTCGCAGTGCAAGATTTGTTGCTTTTCTTCTTCAGTCAGTTCATGAGGGGGAGCTGGAAAACAAACGTTTTTTGAAGTCTGATTTTATGTCAGTCAAATCAGGTCAACTTTTTATTACAAGTTTGGATCAATGAATGGCACACATTCTTTTCAATCAGATTCACCTCTTTGATTCAGAGCATTTTATTCTACGTTAATACATAAATAATAAAAGAAATCTTAATAGGAATCAGAATTTTTAAAATTAAATTCTGTAAGATACCTTTACTATCATTTTCCTCATCTTTCTTTATAGTTTTCTCTTCTTCAGGTTCAATAGGTGGTTTAGGAGTCACTACATCATCTTCTTCCTCTTCATCTGAAAAAAACCCCAGAACACGAAAATTATTTTTATGAAAATAATTGATAATTTTTGAAGTAGTATTCAGAAGGTATCACATCTCTTCACACAAAAGCAAAAGTAAGCCACTGATAAGACAAAACAAGTACAAATAATACAAATTTTGTCAACACAATTTTAAAGAAAGAATTAAGTGGAACCTCTTGGTTTTTATACATACCTATGTATTACCTTATCAACAGTCATACCAAATTCTGTAGCCACATAAACTGAAATAAGATATATAAGCAACTAGGATGAATTCCTCACAGAAATCTCTAAAAGCTAGCAAGCATTTATCATTGCAGACAGAACAACATGCAACTCCTGCATAGTTTTATGTAGCATGCTGACACTTTAATGCTGCAGAATGAAGAAAATCAAGTGTCTAAAATAGCCTACAGTGCTGGCTGCTTACTTGTGATCTGAAACCATCAGTGTCTAATGGGTCTTCATATGGCATAAAGACGGCTTACATTAACTCTCAGGTTTCTATTTGAGAGGCAGATTTTAAAGATAATAGCTATGAGACCACATTTTCTATTCTGTCATTTTAAATGCAAGTCTCATTATCTAGTTATATAATATGACAATAAGCACTTAAAACTGTTTTCTTAACTTGAATAAAAATATATCTTGAGATAATATACACTGCTTATAAGACGGTTTTTATTATTAAATCTCCTCTTATATTCCCAAACCAGGAAATAACTTAAAATAACATTTTAAAATGTTATAGAACATACAACTCTGCCTACCTTCTCTTTCACTACATACTGAGATGGATTTTTATGGAGAAAATGTTTATTTTTATTGCCCAAACAGATGTGTCATTTGTCTATAAGGCAATGGCAGCAGGCGTCTACAGCAGAGTGCATCTCAAGTAATGAGAGCCTATTCAATAAGGGAACTTTACTTGTTAGTTATAGTCATTTCTCTGACCCATGTTCAAAATTATCTAAAACACACATACATACGACGTACACAAAAGAATGGTCAAAGATGGGAACCAGCTGCTAAGTCATGGTCCCAGCAGCCAGGCCAGCTGACTAGATAGCAACAACCAGATGGCACTGCTGGGGCTGCGTCTTTCTGCTACAAGGTGGCAATGGGATGGCATAACATTCTTCCGCTTGACTGCTTCCAATCCTGTCTCTCCCCAATGGTGAGCCTGTGCAATTACCCGCACTCCAGGAGGCCTACAGATAAGCCTTTACCCTGCAAACAAAATGCAGCTTGGAGGCCACACCAGCTGCCAAACCACACACATAGAGTTAGGTTTGGAGAGCTATGAAAATCTTTCTATCTCTATAGTATAAGCAATAAAAATATAACTGTACCTGTAGGAAAGAAAGCTTTAAATGACACTGTATAATGCACACAATGATACAACCTCCAACTTAATCAAAATGATAATGACGTATGCCAATCCTACATTATTTGAAATTGAGCGATTTTTACGTTCTGACAAGTTTACAGAACTAAGATAAATGGCATGAATGATTTCAATATATGCTCATACTTTTGAACCAAATGGTGAAGGTTAAAATTTTTCCTTTCAAGGGCCTCAATCAGCCACAAAGGAAAACAGTAATCACTGTCTTTTCAGCCAGCCCAACCGCATTTGTCAGCCCTTTCTCCGTCAATGCAGCCAGAGCAATCAACCTGCCAAACATTCAGAATGGAAAAACAATCTGAAAATACAGGGTATAATGCACCTGCCAGTGAAAATGGCCATTTCAAGAAAAGCTAGTGATCTCAGTGACCCCGCTGGGGAGGCGGTAGTGCAAAGGGGAAAGAACACGTAAAAGAATTCTTAGTGATCGCCACTCTCTTGCACATTGACACTTCCTTACAAAGCATGCCAATTACAGCTTTTGTGCTACTTAAAAAATGAAAGCTTTTTTTTTGGACAAAATAATCACACAGAGAAACAGAGAGACAGTACTCCTTTTTAGATGAATTCTCATATACAACGGATTATTAATCTGAAAACAGTATAACTGGTAACAATTCTATACTGCTCAAACATCAGAATGAAATTCTACCATAAAGTCACCTGCAAGTGTAATGTAATAAAATAATTTAATTACATTTAAATTAAAAGCTGCCTTTTAGAATAGGATATTAACATCAATTAAAAATTAAGTCTGAGAATATACATATTTTTTCCATTTTCTGCTATTACCATCAACTATCCTCATCAATTTTGTTCACCAGCTGGGTTCTGTATAAAAATCCTAAAATCAAAGATGGATTTTGAGCCACGCTGAACAGGTCATTCTTGAGCATTGTGAATTATAAATTACAGCCTCCTACCCACATCGTATTCTCCTCCCTCAACTTTGTTGCATTATACGGCCTCTAAGTACCATTTCCAATGACAGGTGTCAAATTCTTGTCATAATGCATATGGTCAGTGCTTTGGTGCTAAGTGACCTCATAATCTACATATTTAACAGAACAGATCTTGTTTATAGACACTCTTTCCCTTTCAAAATTTAAAATGTAGATGAAGTATGTTAGACAGTGATCTATATCTGCCTACTATATGGCAACCGCCATGCCTATTTGCCTGATTTTAGTTGTAGCTGAATGATGAGTATCAACTATTTAAATACATGTTTTCAGGATTTTATTTTAGAATGAACATACATACCTCCCTTTCTACATGGATTCAAAACTGATTTTAAAACTATGATATTTAAACCCAAGCTTTATAAAAATGATTAAGCTAAATAAAATTTCAAGGAACATAAACACAAATTATTTGCTATCCCTAAAAACTACAAAACATAATACTTTTATTACAAAGCTTATCTTAAGCAATTACCTATATATACCAAATATTTGGCAAAAATGCCTAACATCAGATTAGAGAATGTTCCTCTGAAACAAATATACGACTCTTATTAAAAACTAATACAATAGCTACTAAAGAACTATTAACACCAACAAAAATATAGTATTACAATTCTAAAGATCTTCTAAGCTAGCCCCTTTTACATGATAAGCTATAATATATTTAAAAGCAAAGAAGACTGCAACAGAGCAGGAAGACTGAAAAATGGGACTGCCATGTCACATCAATTTATTGATGAATATTCATTGCAATATGCTAAGTGGTTAACTCCATGCTTTCTTTGACAGGGAATCTAAGGTTATAAACTGAGCAGTAAAAAATGTATAAAAGTAGCAGTTACTTTTAAAATGACAAATCTCTTGTCAATGAATGCTAAGACTAGGTTTAATGAACCACTGAATTTTTACTTTGAGTTAACATCAAAATTGTGATGTATTTTGGTGAGATGGAAAGAAAAGCTGTTCTGTAAATTAAGATGTACCTTGAAATAACACCACAGAATGAAATTCCAGTTGTCGGAATAATCTGTTACAATGGATTGGGTTAATCAAGGTTAAGTCATCTGTGAAATGGGTGGCTTTTGTTCAACTGAAGGAAGGCGTCTTCAGGGCAAGTTTTCTCATGTTTATGTTAGTTAAGAGACATCTGAGCTAATAAGCCACAAAATACACTCTGAATTATTTTAAAATATTACAACTCATATACTGTAAACATATTACAACAGGTAATATATAAGACCATAGGAAATCCTCACTAAACAATGATATTTTTTAACCTATCATCACGATTAAGTCTCAATCTGAAGTGAAAAACAAATCCTATCATTAGAGCTTTAATGTTGTTTAGGAAATACATTTGTTGCTATAAATTTGTTATGTAGTTTCATTATACTGATAAAGCTATTTTAAGATAGCTTAATATCCTATGAAGAATTCCGAATTTAAAAAGTAGTCCAGGGCCGGCCAAGTGGCGCGATGGTTAAGAACTGGCTTGGGACGCCAGAGGGCCCCGGTTCGGATCCCACATATGAGGGCCAGTGACACTGCCCTCTACAGCTAAGATGCTGAACAACAGCTCAACCTGGAGCTGGGCTGCCGTGAGTCGCCGGCAATGGCGTAGGCTACAGCCCTGTGGCAGTGGGTTGCCATGGGCTACCGTGTGCAGCCAGCAGCCAGCGTGAGCGGCCAGCAGCCAGCGTGAGCGGCCAGCAGCCAGCGTGAGCGGTGAGCAGCCGTCCAGAAGCCGGTGACTGATCTGCCTCACCCAGGAAGAGAGCAATGATGGTGCCAACTTGGGCCAGTGAAGCAACGTCTTCCACAACTAGACTGAAGAACAAAAATGAAAGCAACTTGTCTGTTTCCCTTCCCCCAATTCCCCAATAAAAATCTTTAAAAAATAATAATAATAAAAAAAAAATTAAAAAGTCCGATTATGGTACAGAGTCGCCACTCAGTTCTAAAAATCAGAAAAATTTTTGCATATAAAAATACGATTTAATTTACAAAAATTCAACATGAATAACTTCATAAACACCTTCCAGAAAATGAGAATATTAGAGGAAAATGCTTCAATTAGTTTAAAAATACAGGTTGGATATGAATGATTTTTCCTTTAATATTTTCAAAATAATCCTTTCTTTTCTGGATCAACATCATTTTGTTTTTGTTTTTTTAGCTGAGCCATCCTGCCACCTGTTGGCAGCTCAGCTCAGGCTGGGAATCAAACCGCTGTTGCTCAGAGTTCACACTCTTGAGCGAGCTCTTAACCAACTGAACCACTCACTCGGCCGGCCCTCAACATCATTTTGAATCACTTCGTTTTCAATCCTTTTGTCTTCAATTTCATCTTCTTATACCTTACTCTTTAAAATCAATATTAAGAAAATTTATATTGGGAGAAAGCTTCATGAACGTATCAAAGGAATCCATTCCTTTTATTTTTTAAAACATCTAGAGTTAGATGCAAGGTCACTTGAATTTCTTCAATAATTTAGATCTTCAACAAGGGAAAATATATAGCAGAATTTTTAATCAGAAAATACTTTGAATACACATCTAATGCTAATTTGGGGGACATATAAGAAAGGAGTAATACTTTAATTACACTATTTACTTTA